TCCATTCATTCACCATTTCCTCCAGAAGTCAGAGCCATAATCTATCCCTGAATACCTTGCCATACTTGTACCTTCTACCTCAGCATCTGCAATAGTCAATCATTGAGATGAATGAAGGAGGAGGATATAATATTTGTGTAACAAATAATGAGACTTACGTCTGTGAGGAATGAACAATTCAAAAATAATGTAGGAAAGTAAACCAGGCCCAAAGAAACATAGGTCCCATGGTTTCCCTTATTTGCAATATCTAGTATATGTCTGAGTAAAGCAGAAAGGTCAGATAAGGTGATGTTAGAGAAATGAACCCTAAGATATGTATTCAAATGTTTTTTTTTTCTTTCTTGCGATTGTTTCTAACACATTTATAAGATTATTTCTTTGTTGCTTTGTATGTCCTTCCCCCACAGTATAACCCCTGCTTTCACTGTATTTAATGTTGGTATAATTTGTGGAGGGGAAGCGGAAAAACAAATTGTTTAAATAGGAATACAGGTAGACCCATTGCAACAATGAGATGTACAAGGGGTTACATTAAAAACGAAATTTACAACTTTGGTGGGGGGAAGAGGGGGAGCAGGGAGGATGGGTGGAGGATTGTGGGGGAGGATGGGAAGGGATGGGAAGGGGGAAAAAGGAGGAGGCTACAATGCTTCACAAGAAATGTACTCATGGGGCTGGGAAGGTGGCTCAGTGGTAGAGCGCTTGCCTTGCATGCATGAGGCCCTGGGTTCAATTCCTCAGCACCACATAAGCAAAAAGCCGGAAGTGGCGCTTTGGCTCAAAGTGGTAGAGTGCTAGCCTTGAGCTGAAGAGCTGAAGGACAGCGCCCAGGACCAGAGTTCAGGCCCCACGACAGGACCCCCCCCCCCCCCAAAAAAAAGAAATGTACTCATTATCTTGACCACGTAATTGTAAACCCTCTGTGCAGTATTTTCACAATAAAAAAAAAATGTAGGAAGTAAATTCTATTTATACTAGTACAATAAAGTTAATACTTAGAAATGAATGTTTGAAAAATCTACCCTTGAACAATGGAAACTATTGGACACAGCTAGTCTAGGAAGAACCCATTTTAACCTTATCCTTATCTCCTTGCCTCGCAGGAACTTACTTTTAACTTTTACAGAAAGAAAGAATTATTTTTCCTTCATATTTTGTAGGTGCTCCAATGTTGCCATCTATATAGCCATATGTGCCTCACGATCTCCATATTCATGAGGAATAGCTCACATCCACTAAAAGAGCCATGAAGAACCCATGCACTGGAGGACTGAATTTAGGCATGAATATTTCCTAGCAATCCTTCCCAGTCATGATGTGGGGGAAGGATCATCAACAATCACACCAAATCCTTAAGAGACAAGCTTAGGATGTCTGATATGAGGGAGGGAGGCAAATGGCTTATTCCACAGTGTAATGCATACAGTCTGGGAAGACAAGTCTGAGGACCACTGGATAGGTAGCCTAGAGTTGCTGCCAGAAACTTCTAGGATCAGAGAAGAGGTAGAAATCAAAACAAAACAGGATATGCAAAACAGAAAAGTAAAAGCAGACTGGTTTGGAGCTACTGATCAAGCTTCACATGAACATAGACCTACCCTAAACTCTACCTCCACCCACATGCACCCTGATCAACCTAGAAAACCATTTTTTTTGAAGAGTCTTGGAGGAGGAGTATGATTTTCTAAGAAACCACTGGGAGGAAACTTTTCACTAGTTTCCTGAAGCAATTAATGAAAGAAAGGCAAGTAGAGCAGAGCAAATGCTCTCAGACAGTGCCCATGCTCTGACTTCAAGCCTCAGACCAACAACAAAATGAGGGAAAAAAGACGTTTAAAGGAAAGGCAAATTTCAGACACAAATAACTAAAAACTGCTTAAAATTTCATAGATGGAATTTGGGAGTTTCTGGGAAAATAATGAGGAGAGTTTGACAAATCAATTTAATTCAAAGATTATTAAGTATGTCTACCTTAAAATTCTGCTATTTTAGTCCAGTATATATATAATAAAATTAGAGAATTAGAATTAGAGAAGGGGAAATGATCCCAGAATCAATCAGTTAGGTGTCTGTAAATAGCTGATCGTGTGGTTTGAACTCTGGGCCTGAGCACACTCCCTGAGCTCTTCCCCTCAACGTGAGCTCTCCACAACTTGAGCCACAAGGTCACTTACATTTTTCTGGTGGTTAATTGGAGATAAACCTCATGCACTTTCCTGCCAATGCTGACTTTGGACCAGCATCCTCAGATCTCAGCCTCCTGAGTACCTAGGATTACAGGCATGAGCCACTGGCACCCAGTTGCAAATACCTTTTGAAAGTGAGAGGGGAGATATTCAAATTTTTTTTTTTTTTTTTTTTTTTTTTTAATTTAATTTAATTTTATTTGTGAACATACTGTACAGAGGAGTTACAGTTACATGGGCAGGATAATGTGTACATTTCTTACCAAGCATTGCAGCCTCCTCCTTTGTTTATCCTTCACATCCCTTCCCAGCCTCCCCCCTCCCCCCCTAATCCCAATCCTTCTCCTTCCTCCCTCCCCCCAGCCCCCTCCCCCACCAACAGATATTCAAATTTTTAAGGCAAAACAGAGACATAATTTATATTCAGAGGTGCGACCGACCAGCTGGGCCAGAGCACTGGGACCTATGGGAAAGGGTTCTTGGGATAGGTGGGCAAGGAGTTGGCGAAGTGACAGACAGACAGACTCAAAAGAGTTGCATTTGAGTGTATCTTTATTGAGGAGAATTAACATTTTTATACGGCGTGTGTTTGTGACATAGATTCTTTGTTTATTTAAGCACGTAATCAATTTTTAAGAAAAGCAAAGCATTGATGGATTACGTGAAAATTGATGACTATCCCACCAACTGTTTAAGCTAAGTGGTGTGGAACAAGTCTAGCATACAGTTGAACGCATCATCTATTCAGCCATTTTTATGTTTAATAATTAACAAACCTAAGACAGGGCTGTACTTATATTGTACTCTATTTTTTTCATATATTTTCAAGTCCCTTTGAAACCATCCTAAAAACCTCTTCCAGGTTGAGTCAGGGATTCTCTGTTTTCTATCATTTTAATCCCAATATTTGTTCGCATAAATTTCTAACTATATTATTGTTGTTTTGATAATAAACACAATAATTGTCTAGATCTACCTAATCTTTGCATAAAATCTAATAAGTTCCAAAATACCCTTTTTCCTTTTACATGAATCCATCTATTTTCATCTTTATAAGCTCCTGTATAAGGCAATGGTTCATCAGTTGGTTCAGGAAATGTGATGTCACTAAGTTTATATTTTGTGGGAATCCACCATCTATTCCCTATAATGTAAGCTGGACTAAACTTAATCATAACTGTTGGGGGAATATTTCTTTTCCTTTTATTATCAGGGGTCCCTTTTTCTAGAACTCTCTGAGCTTCTAGGATAACTCTTTCTAGGTTAGTTTAATTCATTAATTCTGCCTGTTGTAACATATCTGGAAATTTTGTTTCTGTACTTACTATGTGGGAGCCACAATACTGCTTGTGAAGTTGTAGGAGTGTCTGGAGGCAGTGTCACATCAGATGATAGATTGAATGTGGCATTGCCCACATTTAATCTTTGGTGCTAGTCTGTATTATTCAGAGAAGCCATCTCTATTGGACTGGAAAGAAACATGCTCTGTTCGTGGATCAATAGAAAAATAGCCAAAACCAGAATAAAGGCAATGAATGTACATCCCAGAAGAATATAATAAGGATAAAGGTAGAGTCAGTAAAGGTTCAGCCAAGTTTGTAGGAAGCCTTGAACCAACATCCCCTTCCTGCAGGCATGCTTCTTGAAGCTTATGCTTTGCCTGGAGCATTTATACTGCATTTATACTCCTGAACCTAGAGATTCTGGTACTCACCCATGTGACTTTATAAACTTGCTTTTTACGAATTGAAGCTAATGAATGGTAAACATTCTTTCAAAATGTCTTATATAAACATATTGATCCTCTTTTCATCCTCTGCACTTCCTATGGCTTTTGAAACTTTCAAAATGTTGCTGGCACAGATATACTCCAATTAATGTGTCTGTTCTGACAAATTACAATTTCTCCACTCATATAATTAGCCTATTTTACATCACTTAAAATGAGAGAGACTGGCTGGGCAGGTGGTTCAGTGGTAGAGTGCTTGCCTTGCATGAATAAGTCCCTGGGTTTGATTCCTCGGAACCACATAAGTAGAAAAAGCTGGCAGTGCACTGTGGCTGAAGTGGTAGAGTGCTAGCTTTGAGTTTAGGAACTGAGGAACAGTTCCCAGGCTCAGAGTTCAGGCCCCACGACAGACAAAAGAGAGAGAGAGAGAGAGAGAGAGAGAGAGAAAGAGAGAGAGAGAGAGAGAGAGAGAGAGAGAGAGAGACTTCCTATATATGCATTCCAATTCAATTCTTAAAATAGTTGAATACAATACAATGACCTTGCTATGTGTGTGCTTGTCCTGACTCTTGAACTCAAGGTCTTGAAAATGACCATGAAATTATTTGGTTCAATGATAATGTTGTACCACTTAAGCCACATTTCCACTTCCAGCTACTTTGGCTATTTTATTGGAGATAAGTCTCTCAGACATCCTTGTAACCATGACTTCAATTTGTGATCCTTTTGGGTTCCTTTATGTCAATCCCAGGGGACCACTAGCAGGCACAGGAGAAAGATTCTTATAAGGTTTACTAGAAGGACCATATTTCCCAGGAGAGGAAGACATGCATTTGTCTCTCTTCAGGTAGCAACAGGAGTGGGTGGGAAGGGTGGGTGGGTGGGGTTGGGGGGGAGAGACAAGAAGTTAGGTAGGTACATGCTCAGGTAGGTGTGGGTAGAGAGAGGGAGTGGTCAGTAGTATGAGGGAACTCTAGATCTAGGACCAGCTCAGGCTTGGGTGGAGTTGAGGAGCAAGGGTGGGGATAATACTAACTTTCCTCAGATTTCAGCCTTTTAAGTAGCTAAGATTATAGATATTTTCATGAGAGGCCAGTTACAATGTCCTCTTTTAAATTCAGATTATATTCTAATAAAATAATATGAAATAGAAAATTTGAAAATTTTAAGGCTGGATGTTCAGTCACTAATGTGGATGAAGACAGTGCAAATCCCAAAACAAACAGAAAATACCACACTTTGAAATTTGTAACACGCCTCATCTTAAGTATTGTGAATGTGAACACTTAGCCTATAATAAATTCACTTTAAGTTTTTCAAAGTAAGAAAACATTCTTGTGATGTAGAAAAACCGAGGACTAATGTGCAAACACTGCTTTTAAAGGATTCATATTGTGTTTCCTATAAAAAAAAAAAAAAACCAACCTCACTGAAGTAAACAGAATAGATTTTTCCCTTTTTGTAAATGTCACTGCAAAGTTCATGTATTTTATATTAACAATTATCATTGTGGGTAAGTGGAGAAAAAAACCAGAAGGCTAGATAATAGAATTTCCTGTGTCATCAACCAACAAGTATAAGCAAAAGTACATACCTATATAAGTTGTTTCTTTTACATTTTATGGATCTACATTTCTGAGTGTATTTTCTGTTAATGTTGTTTAGTAACACATAAGACCTCACTCTTCTGTGGATTTGTCTTTAGTGGAGACTTTAATGCTCTACTTGATTCAGGAATGTTTCTTCTCCCATAAGAAGGCTTTATGCTTTTCCAGCCCACATCTCATGCTCTGACCAGGAACTTCTAGGGTAAAATCACACAGGTTCTTTTCTGACTCTCTCATTTGGCTTCTCTCCAAGCCATGGTTCCAGAATTTTTATTCATTGTCAAAAGCAAGAAAGAATGAAAGGATCTCTGATGAGATTCTTTCATTTCTCACTCTTTTTGGCATTCCATTTTATGAACCTAATTGTGTCCAAGTTTGAAGAACAGGAAAAAAAAAAACATTCAGCTTCACAAACATGCTTCTAAAAAAGCTAAAGATGGCTTGGATTTAGCCGATTATCAATTCTTGCCTTCTAAGTTAAGTGCAGATTTGCTTTAGATTGTTTTCTCTTTTTTTGTGGGGGTGGGGGTGGTCCTGTCGTGGGTCCTGTACTATGGGCCTGGGCGCTGTCCCTCAGCTCAAGGCTAGCGCTCTACCACTTGAGCCACAGCGCCACTTCCGGCTTTTTTCTTTTTGTTTATGTGGTGCTGAGGAATCGAACCCAGGGCCTCATGCATGCAAGGCAAGCGCTCTAACACTGAGCCACCTTCCCAGCTACTGTTTCTCATTTTTTAATGTCAGGACAAAGTTGTCCCACTTGTTATGTGATTCAATGACACCTAGGAGGTAACTTCTCATGGAAGGTAAAGGTTGGCTAGAAACTGGTCAGACATCACATTCTCATACATAACATTAGACTATCCTAATGATGTTTTACTGGAATTGGTAACATAGTGTGGTCAAACATAACTTTGACTATTGTACAGGACTGAGTGTGATATAAGTACTCTCTGTAAATACTCTTGGACTGCTTTGTGGTATTTGTCTTTCTTGAAACTTAGGCTGTACTTGATGGTATTTATAGAAATCTGTTTTTCTCTAAGGTACATACAAGTGTAGAAGTGCTGGACCATATTTCTATGTAATTCTAAATTCAGTTCTTTTTAGGACTCTTTGTCCCATCTTTGATAGTTTTACATACCAGAGAGAAATGCACCAAGATTCACATTGTTGGCACATCTTTCCTACCTTTTGTTAGACTTTGGAAGGATTTTTGTTGTTTTGTTTAAAACTATGGCCATACTAATATGTGTAAAATAGTTATTTTATAGTAATTTTGATTTGAATTTTTCTCATGACTATTGATACTTTTATATTTTAATCAGCTATTTTTGTATGTCCTTTTTAGAAAATTCTCTTCAATCTTTTTTCCCATTTTAAAATTAGATTTTTTGTGTGGGTTTCTTATAGGATTTTCTTTATATTTTCTAATTCAGAATTGTTAGGAAGTTATATAAAGACATACGCAAATATTCTCTCCTACCATTCGTTTGCTTCTTCGTTGATAGTACTTTTCAGTAGACAAGGTTTTCATTGTATGCACTTAATCTTGTTTAGTTTTGGATTTATTTTTTAATTTTTATTCATTCATTTATTTTAGGGTTTTTTGGTTTTTTGTTTTTGTTTTTTTTTTGGTCAGTTGTGAGGCCTGAACTCTGGGTCTGGGCGATATCGCTCAGCTCTTCTGTTCAAGGCTAGTACTCTACCATTTAAACCACAGCACCCACTTCTAACTTTTTCTGCTTATGTGGTGCTGAGTAATGGAACCCAGGGCCTCATGCATGCAAGGCGAGCACTCTACCACTGGACCACCTTCCCAGCCCTGATTCATTTATTTATTTATTGTAAGTCATGGGGTTTAAACTCTGGGTCTGAGCTTGTCCCTCAGCCCATCAGTTCAAGGCCAGCACTCTACCACTTGGGACACTGCTCCACTTCTGATTTTTTGGTGCTTCATTGGAGATAAGAGTTCACAAGTTTTCCTTACCAGGCTGGCTTTGAACCATGATCCTCAGATCTCACCCACCTGAGTAGTTAGGCTTACAGGTGTAAACCACCAGAGCCTGGCATTTGTTTGTTTGTTTGTTTCTTTGTTGCGTGAGTCAGTTTTGGTGTCCTATTTAAGGATTTACTGTCAAATCTAATGCCATAAGGCTTTCTTCCTCTCCTGTATTCTCCTCCTCCTTTCCCTTTCCCTCTTTTTCCCTTCTCTCCACTACTCTCTTGTCTCCTCTTCTTCCATCTTTTCCCTGACCTTTGGCTTCCCTTCTCTCCCTCCTCCACTCATATTCTTTTCTCTTTTTGTCTGAGATGTAGACTTTCGAGTTTTCACAACAATTAGGTTTCTAACTTAGAAACACATATAATACACATACCTCAGACTCCACCATGGTTTTCTTGAGCTACTATTGGAGCTTGAACTCCAGGTCTCACAGACAGTCAGCTTCCTCACTCACTGTACAAATAGGAATGCCAAGGGCACAGGTGCCTCCCAATCCCATTTCTTTACTAGGCCTCTGTAGATAAGCAGAAGGGTTGGGCTGGGAAGGTGGCTCAGTGTTAGAGTGCTTGTCATGCATGCATGAGGCCCCGGGTTCGATTCCCCAGCACCACGTAAGCAAAAAGAAAAAAAAAGCTGGAAGTAGTGCTGTGGCTCAAGTGAAGAGTGCAAGCCTTGAGCTAAAGAGCTGAGGGACAGCACCTAGGCCCAGAGTTCAGACCACAAGCCTAGCCCCTCCTCCCCCCAAAAAGCACAAGGGTGAACAGTGTGATGGAAGGGGTTAAGTGAGCAACTAGCTAAATCTTGCAATGTGAAGTCCACTGTCCTTATCTTGTAAATGGAATCATAGGAAGGATTTAAAGATTCTTTTTTTCTATTGTGAAAATACTGTAAAGAGGAGTTTTTATTTTTAACAATTGTAATAAATACTGAAATTGTTGAAGCCACAGGAAGCCTGAGGTGAAGCACTGTTCTCAGAGAGAGATTTCTTCAGATACCTATACAGATGGGACTTCAGGCAAAATGTTTTCTATACTCATAATTTCTTTCCTGTCTCTGTTCTCACATATGCTGAGGACTCAGTTCTGATTGAAAGACATTTCACGTTATGTTCTATGCACTACTTTCTTTTCTCCTATGTGAGTCAGTTCTCTGATGAACATGAGGTATTCCTTTCTGATCAAAGGATTTCCACATTTGAAATATTTTTAAGATTAATCCACTGTGTGTGTCCTATGAACTTGGATTCATGAACAATTGGTAAAGGACTTTCCACAATTGTTACATTTGTATTTTCTCACTTGTGTCTGTTCTCTTATTCAAACTGTTAGGTCTTTTCCTTGAAAACCTTTCCATTTATTTTTCCTACATAGGATTTCTCTCCTCTTTGTGTGTGAGGGTGTGTATGTGTGTGTGTGTGTCTGTGTCTCTGTGTTTTGTGTGTTCTGTGACGAACCCTGAGCTGTGTCTTGTGGTTGGAGGACTCCACATCTGCTATATCATAAGGTCCCTATCCTGTATTGGTTCTGTATTGCAATTTCAATTTTCTTACAGATCAAAGAATTTCCCATTTGGCTCAATCCTAAGTTATTTCATTTGTGTGAATCAACTTATGTGTGTTAAGCTGTGACCTCCAGGTCTTTCTACACTGGTTGCATTCATAAGGTTTCTCTCCTGTGTGTGTGCTCCAGTGGACAGTAAAGTGTATATTCTGGGTGAAAGACTTTCCACACACGTTACATTCATAAGGTTTCTTTCCTGTGTGCTCTCTCTGGTGGACAGTAAGGTTTGAATTCTGGGTGAAAGACTTTCCACACATGTTATATTCATAAGGTTTCTTTCCTGTGTGTATACTCTGATGGACAGTGAGAGTTGACTTCTGGGTGAAAGACTTTCCACACAAGCTACATTCATAAGGTTTCTTTCCTGTGTGTGTTCTCGGGTGGACAGTGAGGTTTGACTTCTTGGTGAAAGACTTTCCACACATGTTACATTCATAAGGTTTCTCTCCAATGTGTGTTCTCTGGGGGACAGTTAAGTGTAGCTTCTGGGTGAAAGACTTTCCACACACATTACATTCATAAGGTTTCTCGCCTGTGTGTCTTCTCTGGTGGGCAGTAAGTGGTGACTTCTGGGTGAAAGACTTTCCACACATGTTACATTCATAAGGTTTCTTTCCTGTGTGTCTTCTCTGATGGACAGTGAGTGTTGACTTCTGGGTGAAAGACTTTCCACACATGTTACATTCATAAGGTTTCTTTCCTGTGTGTGTTCTCCGGTGGATAGTAAGGTGAGAATCTGGGTGAAAGACTTTCCACACATATTACATTCATAAGGTTTCTCTCCTGTGTGTGTTCTGTGGTGGTCAGTAAGATATGACTTGCAGGTGAAAGATTTTCTACAAATGTTACATTCATAAGGTTTCTCTCTAATACGTGTTCTCTCGTGGATAGTAAGGCATGCCTTCTTGGCAAAAGACTTTCCACACACGTTACATTCATAAAGATTCTTTGCTGTGTGTGTTCTCTGGTGGATAGTGAGGTTTGACTTCCAGGTGAAAGACTGTCCACACAGGTTACATTCATAAGGTTTCTTTCCTGTGTGTGTTCTTTGGTGGAGAGTAAGGTTTGACTTCGAGGTAAAAGACATTTCACACGTGTTACATTCAAAAGGTTTCTCATCTGTGTGTCTTCTCTGGTGGACAGTAAGGTATGCCTTACTGGTGAAAATCTTTCCACACACTTTACTTTCATATGCTTTCTCTCCTGTGTGTGTTCTCTGAGGGACAATAGGGTGTGTCTTCTCAGTGAAAGTCCTTTTACATTGTTTATATTCTTCAACTACAGAAGACACAGGAGGACTATATACAGCACACATCTTACCAGTCTCACTGAAAACACTCATGTTCTGACACCCAGTGACCGTTTCTGTCCTCATCCCTAAGGAGTTCCCATTATTCTTAATCAGTTCTGACTTCTGTTTTGAGCTCAAATTAAAACTTCTTATAAGTCTCACTTTTTCCTCCCCTGGGTTGCTATTCATGACTGCTACTTCAGAGAGATATTTAATGTGACTTTTCTGACAGGTGCTAATCACATCCTCCATTTCTTGGACATCTAAAATGCATAACAGTAAAATAGACAAAAACATAAATGAGATCCATAAATTCCTTACTGTAAAGGTATTTTCTCACATTTTAACTGTTACAAGATTTTCAAATAACAAAGCATTGTTTTATGCAGAATATAAACTTTTCTCTGCAAGGTACTAACTATGAATGTAATACTGACATTTTACAATGGAAAACAATGTTTTTCTGTATTTCAGATTTTTCTATTTTTTTCTAGGAAATACTTACTGAAATTATTCATCCACATACTCTTAATGGTTACATTCTGAATCTCACTCTATGCCAAGCACAACTCATTAGCTATTGTCCTGATCAGAAAATAGCAGCACTACCATTCTCCTATTTTCCTCCTATCTGCATAATACTAGTTTAAAAGAAAATGAGATCTCCTTTTGTACATTTCTTATTGTCTTTTTCTCTTAAAGAATGACTTCTCCACAGACAAAGAGAATTGCTAACATTAACTACACTGGCACACCAAATTCTGTTTGTCTCCACTTGAATTCTGGATTGACAATTCCTTGATACAAAGGATCACCTAGTTCTCTCCCACACATGACTCAATGGCACTAGAAATACTATCGCTCTGTACAGCTCAAGATAAACAGACCAACTGGGCTCTGAACCTATCATCACCGTTCAAGATGCTTTAACTCACCTGTAAAATTCTTGTCTGAGGCTTCTCTTATCTGTGGATCTGCACCTTGCTCCAGCATTACAATCAATTTAGGTTTAGGAACATAGAGCCCTGTGATTAAGAAATAGTGGAGAATTATTGCTCTTGCTCGGTCATCATTAATGTAAGTTCGCAGACATCCTGTTCACAAGGTTGCTCCTAAATCTGGTTTCTCAATTGTTTTGTGGGGTGGGGGGTTGATGGGTCCGGTGTGGGCCTGAACTCTGGGCCTGGGCGCTGTCCAGCTGATCTTCAGCTCAAGGCTGGCACTGTGTCACATGAGCCAAAACGCCAATTGCGGCTTTTTTTATTTTCTGATTATGTGGTGCTGAGGAATCAAACACAGGGCTTCATGCATGGAAGGCAATTCCTCTAGCACTTAGCCACCTTCCAAGTTCATGGTTTCTCAATTCTTAACAGCTCCATGTTGGAGTAGCATCCAGCTTTGGGTTTATTTTGCCAACTGTGTGGCTTGATCTCAGCTCTTTTGCTAAAAGCTAGCACTCTACTAGTTTGTGTCTTGGCTACATTTCTAGTTTTTGAATGGTTAATTGGAGATAAGAGTTTCATGGTCATTTTTCTACAGTTGCTGGTTTCAAACTGAAACCTTCAGATGTCAGCCTCCAGAGTATCTAGGATTTGTAGCTTGGAGCACTAAACCCTGTATCAGGTTGGGCTTACAAATACACACTTTCCAGAGCATACTGTCATTAGTAATGTATGTTCTATTCTGGACTGTAGATCCACCTATAATAATTACCCAAGTCTGGGAAGTCAGTCTCCTATTAGTGGATCATAGCTTAGAACTTTTGTCCAACTACTGATTTGCCTTCTTAAAGAAGGAGAATAAAATTAGCTCTTGAGTTACATAAAATGAAGTTAAAGTTTCCCTTAGAAAAAACTGACACTTCCCATGGCCTGGAATCTTTTTTTTTTCTTCAGAAAATGTAATGGTCCAAAGGCTTACACCTACATTTAGCAGGTGAGATCAGAAGAGGCAGGCTTGAAACCAACCTGGGCACAGAAAAACAGAATATACCCCAAAACAAAAGTGAAAATACAATTGTAGCTCAAGCACTTGTGTGAAAGACAAACAACAACAAGCTCTCAGACTCAAATTTGACTGGCTTTTATACTAGCAGTTTTTTACCTGGGAATGGACTGGAATCTTCTCCCTAAATAGCATAAATAGTCTAATGTCTACTAAAATAAAAGCACTTGATCTTCCAAGTTAAAATAACCTTTGCTCACCCAAGGACATGAGATTGCTATAGGTCTCTAGCATTACATCTCTATGAAGGGTCCTCTGACCAGGATCCAGATCCTGCCACTCCTTCCAGGTGAAGTACACAGCCACATCATCAAATGACATCAGCTTCTGTAATGGCACATTTCCATCAAGAAATTAGACCTGGGTTATGAGAATTCCAACCTGGAATTTCATTATGCTGCAGGTATGCTTTTGTCTTACATAAAATGTTTGCAGCTAGCTTTGTTATTTATTCACTGGGAGAATTAAATACCAAACTAGAAATATTTGACAATACATAAGCCTGGTCATTAAAATACACAGATTTGCAGGGCGCTGGTGGCTTATGCCTGTAATTCTAGCTATTCAGGAGGCTGAGGTCTGAGGATCAAGGTTCAAGGCCAGCCTAGGCAGGAAAGTCCATGAGAAACTTATCTCCAATAAACCACCAGAAAATGAAAGTAGCACTGTCACTCAAGTGGTAGCACTCACCTTGACCTGAAGAGCTGAGGGAAAACAAACAGACCCAGAATTCAAGCCCCAAGACCAATCAAAAATTACAGTTTCTATAATGCATGAAAACACATTTCTGCTGCTAGCATTAGAGACAAGATAAAAACTCTAAGGAGACAATAATCTGGCATGATAACATTAAGTCTAAGGAGGTGTCTGAAAAATTATATTATCATTTTTGATAAAATTTCAATACATACCAGGGTAAAAATGAATTAAAAAAATATTTTTCCTGCATTTACACATACTGTTTCACCATAAATCCTATTTAGACCTTCTACTAACAAGTACTCTCAAAAGCAATCAGCACCCATTCAGGATATCACATGGAATACAGAACATAGAACATTGCTAGATATGAAAAGCAATGTCCACATGAATATTAAAAAAAAACAGTAACAGTACTCCAGAAAGTAACTAATGATGGATTAGGCCCTTATAAGATTTAATTGAGTTCCCACATAAAAATATGCCTGGTTTACCATGTTTGGTTTAAATACTAAATATTGAAATGTGGTCATAAATACCCTGATATTTCCTTCCTATGTAAAACAGAACTGCTACCATGAAATTTTGTAAACTTTGCCTACATTCTATAATACAAAATATAGGTGCAGGGAAAAAAATGTTCCTTGACAAGGTTTTCATTTTAATAGGCCTTCATGGAAGGTGAAGGCCAATATAGAGAGGCTCAATGAACATTCAAGATGACAAAAATGATAAATATGACCAAATGTTCAAATGTATTACATATTCCTGAGTTGTTTCTCCAGTAGATCTCTAAGGATATATTTTCACTTCTGTTAGTTAATAGTGAAATTCCTCAGAGATCAAAATCAATTAGTGAGCAAACATCTGTGAGATTTTGGGACAAGTGATATTTCTAATAGAGAACATCTCAACACTGCATTATTTTTTTTCAACATTAGTTCCAATCTTATACTGGCAGTGAATTAAAATATTCAAAAGTAGTGGGAAGGAAAAACAAAACTGAATACCACATCAAATGAAGTTAGACCAACACAAAATCAGAAGAAAACAGATTTTCTTGTAGTGTACCAATTGATAGAAGGAAGTACTTTTCTGTAGGGAACTCTGAAGTTGAGCTGAAGGGGGAAAGGTTTGAGAGGTTGGAATTCCAGCCTGACAGCATTGAGAGAACTAAGAGCTGGCTGCAGATGGCTTAAAGAGAATTCTGGAGAGGGTTAAGAGACTGGAGTACAGGCCTTTTCCTTACTGTTGGAAAGATAGCATCTGAAACTGAGGTGCTATTGACCTTGAAGGCTAGGTAAGGTGAACTCCATGTCTGGATTTTCTCTGGGCAAGAGTCTTCTGTCTCAGGAGAATAAGGAAACATGTTTGCCTCACAAACTGTTGTGGCTCTGATTGTACTATTAATATAGATACTTCATTTTTGCATGTTATTAATGGTAATCTTCCCTGTGTGCACTCAAGGAACTATGCTTGCTTGCTGTTGCTCAGGGACAAAGTGCCAGAGAGCATTCAGAACCCTGGTTTCCTCTAAGTCTATCTGTTTATGTTTTTGTGTTTCCCTAATTTTTGCTTGTGGAATCCTGTAGAACTCTCTAGGCAACAATTTTCCTATACTACGGGTAAGAAAAATGTCAATCCTAAGAGCCATATCAGCAACGTAAAACTGATCACTAAGAAAACCTTGTTCCAGATAGATCATTTGAAGAAAAGAAACAACTGAGACACATATGGAGGAAAGAGGGAATGAAAAGAGAAAAAAAATGATAGAAAGATAGATACAAAGAGAGAGAAAGAGAAAAATAACCAACACTAGCGGGTAGAAAATCAAAAATAGAGAGAGAAAATAGAGGAAAGAAATCTTGTGAGAATACTTTAGAGAACAAACAGGAATTTGTAGAAAGACCAGAAAGCTTAGCAACAAATACAGGCAAAGTTTCAAGTAAGACCAAGACCATGAAGCAGTCCAAGAAGTATATATGGAGAGTAATTTAAGTACATATAGGTTAATTATTCCTTAAGAACTTACGAAGGTGTGTATGACCACACTATTTCAGCAATTCCAGGAAAATTTCATTGAGATAGTTTAA